GTCATCAGAAAATACACTTCAGATGAGGTCCATTCTTGTACATTTTTCAGATTGTTTAATGGCTCACAATATGATTCATCCTGCTGTACATTCCATCAGCACTTGAAAAGTGTGTGTATTCATGTGTTATTGGGTGGAGTGCTCTATAAATATCAATTTGATCCCATTGGTTGATGATCTTGTTCAATGTCATATTCTTGCAGATTTTCTGCCAACTTTTTCTACCAATTGTTGAGAAAGGGATATTGACGTCTCCAACTATAATTGTGGGTTTGTCTATTTCTCCTTTCATTTCTACCAGTTTTTGCAGCTCTGTTTGGACCATACACACTTAGGATTGCTGTGATTTACTGGTGAATTAACCCTATATCATTATATAATGTCCCTCCCTATCTGTGACCATTTTCTTTGCTCTACTTTATCTGATATTAATACAGGATGGGAAAACAGTATGTTTACAGCTGTTTATGGGGAAATTAATATAATGATTAATACAAATAATTCAAGAATACACTCTGTATTTTACATTCAACTGTACACCTTTGCCTCACTTTGTACAGCCACTTCTGCTTTCCTTTTATTCATGTTTACATGATACATCTTTTTTCAACCAACCTATGTATCTGAAGTGTGTTTGTTACAGACAGTATATAGTTGGGTCATGTTTTCAAGACACTTTGCCAATTTTCTGTCTATTGGTATAATTATACCATTTATATTTAGTATAATTATTGATTTTAGGGCTTAAGTCTGCCATTTTATTTTTTGTTTTATGTTTTTTCTCTCCATTTCACATTTCTCTTTTCTTTTTCCTGGACCTTTTTAGAATTTTGTTTTGATTTATGTATAGTTTTTTTTCCCCAAGTGTGTCTTTGTATAGCTTTTGTAGCTGTAGTTCTTGGTATCACGTCACGGAGGGGGAACCAAAAAGACCCTGGAATTATCTTCTGGAGGGCAGACCCCTTGTAGCTCAGGCTTCCCCTACTAGACCAGTGTTCTAGGAACCCATCTGCACCTGTGGACAGGCTGGCATTGTTGTGAGAGGCTGTGTTCAGCTTCAGTGAATTGGAGACTCTTTGAATGCATTTGCTCATTTCATCATGAGTGATTTACGATCACACCTGCCCACACTGTGCTGAGTTTTCAGCAGTTTTTGACCAAAAAATGGCATGACCCTCATGCTCCACCCTCTCTATTTACTCAATCTCACCCTGAGTGAATTTTTTTTTTGTTTCCCTGGATGAAAAACGTCCTCGAAGGGAAACATTTTGTGGATGTAGAAGTGAAACAAAAAAATGGCAGAAGCACTAAACGGCATCAAAATCAACGAGTTCAAAAACTGTTTTGAGCAGTGGAAAAAAACATCTCAGTACATGAATTGCATCAGATGGACAGTACTTTGAAGGTGCCTGAAGTTTAAACATGTAGGAATAAATATAGAACTTTTTATTAATAAATTCCAGATTTTTTCAGGTCTCCCTCATACGTATACATAACTTATCACAGTCTCCAGGTGTTATCGTTGTGCTAGTTCAGGTACAGAACCCTTGCCATTCCTAACTTTTCCCTGCTTATGTAACTGCCTTAAATATTTCCTCTAAAACCACATCAGACAATCTTATAATTGTTGCTTCCATCATCAAACAATTCAGAAAACTTAAGAGGAGGAAAACCTATTACATTTACCCATGTTTTTGCTTACCATGTTCTTCCTTCTTCTGTAACTTCCTTTCTGTTTAGGCAACTTCCTTTGCTAATTTTGGGGGGTGAGTCTACTGGTGACAAATTCTCTTAGTTTTTCTTCATCTGAGAATGTCTTGATTCCCCCCTCATTCCTGAAGGATATTTTCACTGGGTGTGGAATTCCCACACCCAGTCCTCTTGGCAGTTCTTTTCTTTCAGGCTCAAAAAAGATTGTGCCGTTCTTCTGGCCGCCCTGGTTCCTGACGACAAATCCATTCTCATTCTGTTTCCCTCCTACATGTAGTTAAGGTCATTTTTCTCCAGCTTCTTCCTGTAATCTTTGCCTTTAGGTTCAGAGGTTTAATTATGATGAGTTTTTGGTACTTTTTTGGTCTTTAGTCTTTTTTTCTCCTCTGCTCCTTGGACTCCAATAACACCAATGCTATGGGTTTTTTTGTTTTGTTTTTGTTTTGTTTTGTTCTGCTGCAGTCCCTTAGTTCTCTAAGGTTCTGGGTTTTTGTTTTTGTTTTTCAGTTTATTTTATTTCTGGTGTTCAGATTGGGCAATTTCTATTTCTCTATCTTCCACTTCATTAATTCTGTCTTCTGTACCCAGTATTCTGCTGTTGAGCCTATTTACTAAGCTATTTTGTTTTGATTACCGTATTTTTCAGTTCTCTATGTCTTCTGTTTCTTTGTTGAGTCTTTTTACTTCTTTGCCGAGCCTTTCTATTTTTTATGTGTTTTAAGCATGTTTGTATGTGCTCATTGAAGTATTTGTATCATGGCTACTTCCATAGCTTTGTCGGGTGACCTAACATTTCTGTCGTCTGGGTGTTGTCTTTGATTCATTTGGTTTGAGATGTGATACTCTGGGTCTTAGAGTAACCTTCCCTTTTAGCTGTTTGTTTGTTTGTTTGTGTGTTTTTGACTCTGCTCTGACCAGAGAAGGGGGCGCTGCTGCCTTGTCACTACCAGGTGGCCTCTACCTCCTGCACCCCTCCCCCCACTTGACCTCTATTGATACTCAAGGGGCCACACCGTGGGAGAGGCTCTTGCATCATCCCTGACACTGCAGTGGGGGCCCTCCTTCCTGTTGGATGATGGTGAAAGCCCTGACCACTGTCAGGTCTCTTCTGACCCTAGCTTCCGTGGGAAGGCACTGGGGCGCCGTGCTACTGCCGGGTGGAAGCACAGACTCCCCACGTGGTCTTCGCTGGCGCCGCAGGGAAACCGCCTGGCAGGCCGGTGGGGAGGGAAGCCGGAGCTCTCCGCTTGACCTTTCCGACACCCCCCTGACTGCATCCCGGTCCCGTGCTGGCGGGAATGGAGGCTCCCCACTCGGCCTTTGCTGGCGTGGGGTTGAGGGCCAATTTTGTATTTGGTATTGACTGAAGTAGAGTGATTATTATCTAAAAGTTTTATGTCTCCCCTTTCCTGGTTCTTAGGCTAGTGAGAGCAGGCTCTTGTTGGGTCTTCTTCCGTCTGCACTGTTGAACCTGGAATATGGAAGGCAAAGGGAAACCCAAGGAGCTCGCCATTATGTCTCTTCTTAGGTCCAAGTCCCCAGCCGGTGTGTCTTCTTAAGTTTGTTTTATATGTAATATCCGGGGGGGTTGGTTGCATTTAGTGGGAGGAATAGGAAAAAGTATGTCTACTGAATATTCCCAGAAACAGAAGTTCTCTTTTCTGCCTTTAACCAGCTTCCTCAGTGGGAGCATGAGCAATACCCCCGTGTTCCAATCTACTGACCAAAGACCCGCCCCCGAGAACCCAACTGGCTATAGTCACAGCACCGCTGCCGGGCTAAACTTTGTTGACGGTTCCTGACTCCCAAACGAAGCATTAGCTGCAATACTCTAGCAACACATTAAAGGGATATTTTTTGTCCAAGAAGGTTTTTTTTTCTAAGAGTACAAATACGGTTTGATACTAACAGATCCAATGATACAACTGTATTAGCAGGTTAAAGGAGAAAACGCCATGTGATCATGCCACGAATGCAAAAATGTGCAATCGACTGAATTCAACATTCTTTCTGAAAAAATGTCTTAAAAAGTAGAAATCGACAAATACTTTCTTTAAACAATTAAAATACAAATATCTCTCATCAAGTGAGCATCACATTTCGTAGTGATACATGAGAATCTTTCCCACTAAAATCTGGTCATCCACATCGCCTGTGTTATTTAACCTTGTTCGGGGAGGACTAGCCACAAGTAGGATGTAAGTAACATTTTCTGGCAACGATACTTGTATTTCCATCATCTTCCACCATGTTGTTCCTCCTTGGAGTCGACATTAACTGTAGGATTGCTTAGGTCATTCCCTCGCCTCACAGGCTTTCTGGCTTTCTTTCCCTTGCTAGCTTCATCATCAACTGATGGAGTTATGATCGGGGCCATCTCTTATATACTTTGTATCCTTAATTTTTTTATTTCTATTTACTGACTTTAGAGAGAGAGGAAGGGAGAGAGAAACATTGATGCGCTGTTCCACTTATTCATGCATTCACTGGTTGCTTCTCGTATGTGCTCTGACCAGGGATCAAACCCACAACCTCGGTGTATCGGGATGATGCTCTAACCAACTGAGCCACCTGGCCAGGGCTATATTTTTACTCTCAATGCTGTGAAAACAGTAGGTCCTCAGTGAATATTCTCAGATTATCTATCCAAAATGGGATATTAAAAATTAAATTAATATGTATATGTTACATATACCTTGGAAGGTACCAGTAAATCGGTAATTTTGTGATTACACAGGATTTGACTTACCAATTTTTGTAATAAGATCAAAACAGCATATCCTAGAATATTCAATATTTTTACACTGGAATTTGGTGAAATCGTAATTGCTCTCATACCTAAGGCCTTCAGCTAAAAATCCTTTGGCTATTCTAAAATATTCTCAAAATTTGATGAGACACACAATCAAAACCAGGCTGGAGTAACTGAAAAATTACATCAGTACTCAATTGTGGTTTCGCTTTGTAACTGGCACTGTCATTTCTAACTTACCACACAGCTGTCTAATACCTGGGAACAGAATACATGCTTGCTCTTTCACACCTCGTTTCTAAATTTAGCTAAACATTGTAGCAAGAGGTTAACCCAAAGATGCATTTCCTAAGTTAAAGTAGCTCAATGATTTGCCCTTCTCCACAGGAGGTCTGCAATGCTTCCCATGCCCACGGGACACTCCGATTTAGTCACAATGATAAATACAAGCTAGGTCCTTCAACTAATCTAAGATTCCCTCCCCAAATCAAACATTTTTTTTTTTTTAAATTGACAGAACATCAAGTTCAACGTTTACCTCTGTTCCAGAGTGTCTATCTCTGATGACATCCATCTGTCTCTTAAACAGTTCTAATACAGCTTTGTAGACCAGCTCATACTGTTCCTGCAGAGCGTCACCGACCAGACAAGGGAAACAAACACACACCTTGGTGAACGATTGAACCAGATTTCAGGAATATGCATACCAGTCAACCAATCAAATCCCATGATAACAAACCCAAAAAAGCCATTCACATTAGTTTAATGACAGGGCCTGGTATTTGTATAGCCCACTTCAGATTTCAAAGCACTTTTAGGTGGCTAGAAACAACTGATTATTTGTTCTACTTCTAACTAATGTACAAGGAAGAAACTTGCAGCGTGTTTTTTATGTTCGACCCCACTTTCTTACCGATCTTTCCTTCCATCACCATCCCTTTAATTCTGCTTTCCTTGCTCTTACGTTACACATTTTATTTCTTATTGGATGCATTGTTTTTTGGTGAGCCACCTCTACCTTTTCTGGAAGAAGGTAGACACATTGCAGTGGATGGGTAGATAGAGGGCTTGAATCTGATTATTTCACTTGACCCTCATAACTGACCTATAAACAAGTTAGGCTGCTATTCCTGTTCATAAACAATTTGTCCAAGGTCACTCGGAAGTAACTTCCAGAACTTGGGTTAGAACTTGAATCTTCTGATGCTTAGTTTACTGCATTTAGAACAGACTGCTGAAATTCTGTCCCAGCAAAAATATCAAAGAAGAGATCATTGAATAGAGTTTGGAAGTGTATGGTTATAAAGAGATTTCACTGGAGAAAAAGGAGTCTGCTATAGTCACAATATTTATGGGTTTTTACTACTCTGTTTTTTCCTCTGTACCAGCTCAAGCACTTGATTTTGTATCTACTTTTTTTCTATATATATTTTTATTATTTTTTTAAATTTTACTGTATTTTTCCATTACCATTTGTCCCCCTTATAGTCCCTCCCTGCAGCAATCTCCATACTGTTGTCTACGCCCATGAGTCCTTTCTCCTTTTTGCATGATCCTTCCACCCCCTAAACACCCCCCACCCCTAGCAGTCAGCCTGCTCTCTATCTATAAGTCTGTCTCTATTTTGCTTGTTAGTTCGGTCTGTTCATTAGATTCCACAAATGAGTGAATCATATGATACATAAGCCAGTCCGAGAAAGACGGATACCGTATGTATATACTTTCCATCTGAATGGGCCCATTCAGGGTTTTCCCTGACTCTTTACACAATCTTCTACAAGTAAAATACAACTTTTTTTTTTCAAATATGATTTCAGCAGGAGAACAATGCAGAGTCTCTGTCAACCAACACAGCCATTGGTACACTTTTTAAATTTCTGAAGAACAGAGAAAAATCATACAGGAAGCACTCGTCTGGTTACTGTGCTATTTCCTGGTTACGGTAGTGTCAGAAAAAGCAGCTGTAACTGGTAAGAAGTTTGCTCAGTTGGTCGTTGATAATGCCAAAATGCGAAGGGTAACTTAAACTTGTGCCAGCCATCCCCCAACTCTTGAAAATAGGCCTGAAATGGACTCTTTTCTGGCACAGGCATGGTTTTTATTTATTGATCAGTATTACCACTCAACACGGCACCGATATGGGTCAGCCCTCTTCTAAGTCTGACAGTCTCAAACCTGCCAATGCATTCATCTCACACAAACTTCCCCCTCACAGGTTGAATATAGAAAACACCTACAGTCAACACATGAAAAAAATTATTTTTCCACTAGCTATTAGTGGAAAACCTGTGTGGGCCAAACAGAAGGTTTATTTTATAATAGCTCTTCACTTTTTCCCTTTGATTTGCAGCTTCTAGATGAAAATATCCAAACTGCCACTGTCGATGGTTCTGCCTCCAAACCTATGTGGCAGTTTGTTTGCCTTAAACAGGTGAGGGTCTTGCTGTCTGAGCAGGAAAAAGTAGTTCTAATGAATTATGCCTACGTGTCTGATACCTAATATCAATGAATGTTTGATGGATGAATGATAAACTGTATCCTAAAACTGGAGACCATTCAGATATATGGGTAAAATAACCAGTGAGGAACTTTGGGTGAAATTAATATTGTGAAAGTGACAGATTTGGGCTGGGACTGTTTCATCTAGGAGAGAGACTTGAACTTGGAAAGGAGAGGAAAAAACAGGGAAAAAGCATTACTAATGGAGTGAATGAGCATGAGCAATCCAGGATGGGTTAGAATATTGTGTACATATAATCATCATATATATAGTGTGATTGTAATTATATTTTTAAGTATGCATAGATTAAGGACCAGGAGAGACTAGAAAAATAGTAACAGCAGTTACCTAAGTGATAGGGTCATGGTTGATTTTACTTTCATTTTTCATTCTTTCCTAAAATGAGCACAGACTACATGCTCCGGATTCTGTTACCACGTCCTGAAGTACAAAATACCTTTGATTTTCTACAGTTTCAGAAATAAATTAGTGTTACAAAGTTTCAAGTCAACCTGACCCAACTATTTCTTTCTAGGAAGTCAAACAACTTGTGGAATTTTTTCAGCCTCCTTTGTAAGAAATGTTATATTGGTTTCTCAATATTTTCTGGACAGCAAAATACAAAGGATGAAAGGAATTTGACCCAGGGCAAGGAATACTGGGGAAAATGTTGGGATTTTCGGAGTCGGGGGAAACGGGACCAGACTAACACACTTAACAGGAAACTGGTGTTATGGCTACGCAGTCGGCTGCTTTGGGACGCCCCACTATTAAACAGAAGTGACGCAAAACTCCAACACATGTTATGATCCATTCACCACAGTCCGTACCTGAGTTTGGACAAACGAAGGCCTCTGTGTTCGCATTTCCTGGATCAAATTAAAAATACTGAAGTTCTCAGGAACTATCTATCAAATAAGAGGGAAAAGATCTTACTCCTTTGTTTCTATATTTGTTAATAAATTACTGTCGCTGTCTCATAGTCTTGTGGCTTCCATGATCTCTGCTCTCCTAACATGGGATAATATCAGAAAATAGATAGACTTTTAAAACTAATGAAGATTCTCATCACTTGCCTCATGATTTACAAGCCTGGCGTTTTCCCTAGAAAAGGCTGAAGTGACCATTCGGACTGATTTCACATGGGGTGATCAAATGTCTGAGGTTAAGGATAAGATGAAGAAGGCCCAGTACAGGAGCCAGTATGAGTTTCATGAGATAAAAGGAGTTGGCAGGCAGTTCTCAAGCCCGTGTCTTAAACTTCCCTTCTCTTATTAGACTTTTAGAAAACCAAGTATTGATTGGAACACCAAGCTTGATGGCGGTAAATCGAGTGCATCAATTAAAGCAGTTTGGATAAAAGAAGGGTGACCATGTCACTCAGGGCCATGGTCCCCTCCAACTACATCAGGTGTCAGAGCCCCCGCAGAGATGGCTGGGCCCCCATCTCCAGAGTCTCTGTTTCAGTCCATCCCAGGTGGGGCCTAAAACTTTGCATTTCTAACAAGTTCTCAGGTGATGCTGATGCTCACGCTGTTTGTCTGGGGACCCCACGTCAAGAGCCACCAACTGAGCAACTCACTGAATCATCTGACAAGGCAAGTCTCCAAGGCAACCTTCTCAAAAAGGTGAATTGTGGAGGTGGGTGTTTGGAAGACCCAAACGATTCCTAAGCCTGAAAGGAGCAGGGCAAACAAACGGGAAGTGCCTGCCAAGAGAAACTCACCCCGTCTTTTAGCAACATCCACGTATAATCAATAGCGCAGATAACACCGGTCCTTCCACAGCCGGCACTGAAATGAAAGATCACAGAGCATTTATAGGTGCCAACAGTGGGCCATTCACTGAGTCGCTGGAAAACCTCACCAGCAGATCTGAGGAAGAAGATACCTAGAGACAAGGAAACTCTCAACACTACCATCTCCCAAGTGTGTTTGCAGATTGCCGCGTGTCCACTGAACTTCAGGATGGGTCCTGGGCAACTGTTCCCAGCACAAGTCTCTGGAGCTGTACTGGTCACGGGCAACTTATCAGAAAAAATAGTAATGTAAAGCTTGGCTTGAATTTATTATAGTTTGTTTCTGCCATGACCTTTCTCTCTCTGTCACATTTCTAAGCTTCTTTCCTTTCTGATCAACCGGAAAAAGTGAGGCAAGGACCAGGAGCCCTTATCCTATGTGCTCACACCACCTTGACCTCCACAGAAGTCAGTCTTCCTTCAGCTGAAGCAAGAGTCCCGGCCAGACTGCGACACTGGGGTTGTTCTGGGAAGGAGGCTCATGCGAGAGCGTCCTACCTGCAGTGGATGCATATGGGCGCACTGTCGTCCTCTTGGTAGCAACGCACATCCCGGACGAGCTCCAGAATGGGATCTATAGACGAAGGCACGTCATGATCCGGCCAGTTCCTGTAATGGAGCTGGTAGATAGTTCGAGTGTCCTATTAAAAAAAAGAGTAGCCGGCATAAAAGGAGAGTTCAAGGTGAGGACTCCACCTCGTTCCACCACAAGATTTCTCTGACTTGCTAAGAAGTATCATCTATATCCTCTTTGCGATTTACACTTTCTTCCCTATAGACCTCTGGTGACTACACGTCTACAAAGAACAACGAGGAGATTTCAGGGCACTTATTGTTGGCCTGTCCCTATCGGCCCCGCTCAGCAGAGGAGGTAGATGTGAAGACAGTCCAACCTGGAGCTTCCCGACTGAGACACTGCACATGGGCCGTAGAAATGCTGGTGTATTGGATCCCTTGGTCTCAGAGGGACAGCCTGAGCTCTCAAGTTGGTTTGCAGCCTCTCTTCTCTCTACACAACTGTTTTATACGTGGTCACGGTGAGGAATAGATTGGGGAGCCCAGATGCCGCCAAAGATCTCTTTTGAATATGAAGATTATTCCAGAATGACAAAGGCCCCCCATTACTCCCCATTGTCTCATGCCCAGCCCAAGACACCTACATATATATTAACCTGCCCGATCTCTTCAGGCTTTTGAATTTACTGCTCCATTCTGTACTTACACTGTTGAACTTGACTTTTAGAGTCCTGATTATGTAATGAGATTTTCTATTTTCCGCTTCCTAAGAAGTAAATTAAAATATTAGTCATTTCAAGGACTAAGATTCAAAAACGACTCTCCCTAGAGTAGATCGCAGGCTTTGGCTCAGCCGTGTGGAAATGGGCATCACACTTACACAGGACACGGAGAACGGGCCAAGCTGCAGCTGCACCTCTCCCGGCTCGGCCCAATAGCGCTCACACTTTTTCTGTGGCACAAAGCAGAAGACAGTGATTTCCCTCCATGTAGTCCAGTCTCTTCCGAGTCACGAAACCCACTCCCTCATTCAGAAGCCAGCTCAGCTCTGCGTCCTTCACCTTAGGTGAGGAACGTCTAACCCCCTTGGCCTTCAACCCCAACTTCATGGTCTGGAATCTCCAAGGATGGGAAAACAAACATTAAAGACTATATAAATGACAGACTTCCTAGAAGTCTGAAAAAGCGGAAATAGGGATCTGATATTTTTAGTACTTCAAAAAGGTCAACAGAAGTCACGTCTACTAAGGTCCGTACAAGCTGACTGAACGCCAAGTCCCCTCGGTGGTAACTGGAATTGTACCCATTCAGAATGGCAACAATACATGAGAAGAATGCTATTCGATAGAAATATAATGTGAGCTACATGTGTAATTTTAAATTTTCTAACAGCCACATTCGGAAAAACAAAAACAAAAACAAAAAACAACCCTGGCCACATAGCTCAGTTGGTTAGAGCATCATTGCAATACACCAGGTTTGTGGGTTCAATACCCCTGGTCGGGGCTCATGTAGGAATCAGCCAGGGAGTGCATGAAAGGGTGGAGCAATGGATGGATGTTGTCCCCTCATCTCTCTCTATAATCAATAAATTAAAAAATTTTTAAACAAAAATAAAAAAAGGGAAATTAATTTTAATAATATAACTTACATGGCCAATACATCAAAGAAATTTTCAACATGTAATCAATATAAAATAGTCATTAGATATTTGACATTTTAAACTTCTTCAAAATACAGTGTTTTTAATATTCATTGTACATCTCCATTCATATGCCAAATTTTCATTAGAAATACTTTATTTTCATTTAGAGGCCATAACATTTATAGTTGAAAAGATTCAGATACCTGAGTTGTTCCAAACATACTTAAAGTTTTCCAATAACTGAATTTCATATCAGTTTTTTAAATTAAATTTGTTAAAATAAAATAATGGAGTTCCTCAGTCACAGCAGCCACATTCCAAGAGCTCAGTGGCAGCACGTGGCTAGCGGGTGCCACGTTGGGCAGAGCAGGCCGGGAAGCTCTGCCTGGTAGTGAAAGGTGTGTCCGGTCAACAAAATGGAAAGGTGAACGGTCACTTCAAAAAGCATACCTTATTTTTTTCTTAAAACACGGAGTCTACTGGGAAAATGGACAGAATAAAAAGGATCCTTAGGAGTGAAAAACAAAATGAAAAAGAGTCCTGAGAGTCATTTGGCATTCCCCAAACTGAAAACTGGCAAGATGAGCACAAATTTTACCTAGTTGCACCTAATGAAAGTTCTGCTACCAATTTCCCCCCTTGTTTTCCTTCTTCCCTTTGCCTTTACTCAGGCAAGGATGCACTCACCTTCCCCATTTCGAACTCCATGCATGCCATAATAATGATCTGGGGACAAAAGGGACAGACACTTAACCATTGCTCCAGTTAGAAAGAGCAGCTAATACTGTCCATGGGTCCCAGGATCAGAAAGTGTTCATTAATCTTCCCTAGGTTTCTTTTTTTTAATAAAAAAGAAATCTAGATAAATTACAAACTCTTGCTCTTACCCTTCCTTCTTTCTCTCCCCACTTCTCTTTTTCTCTATTCAAATCAGTAAATTCTTATTAACAAATGAGCCTGTCAAGATGAGAACTTTCATTTCCTTGAAGAGTGACATCGTGATTTTGACTAAGGTGTACCAGAACACCGAAATTCTGGTGACTAACAAAAAGAAGCGCTAATTTAATACATAAGAAACCTCAGTTGCATATCCTGATGCTCTCAGCCCTTCTATCCCTAAAAATGAGAGAAGAGAAAGGAAAGTAATGCTGCTCTTACCAGGACACTGTATTCCCAAATCATCCTCCAGAAGTCCAGGACAGTTGTAGGCAAAGGTCCCTGGGTGGCAATGTAAGCCTGGGGTCCGTAAACTCCCTAATGGGGAACAGAAATCACATGGGGTGACTACAAACAGTACCCTTTTGTTCTTGTCCAATACATTTCCCTCCCTTTTTTAGGTGCCTAGAGAAATATAGTCTACTATCCTCTCCCATTTTTTAGGTACCTAGAGAATATGGAATGTGGACTGTACCTTAATGAAATTGGCATTGATGTAACTGGAATCCTCATCAGAGGTTAGTAAGGACAGCTCTACTCGGCTGTGATCATCTGGAATACAAAAGAAAGACACAGGATAATTACGGGGGGTTAGTCCGAGGGCTTACTGTAAGTCAGGGACTAGCAGCATGAATAGTGGTCTGAAGAGTGAATGAATGAATGAATGAATGAATGAGTGAATGAATGGATGTTCTTTTGTAGTCATAACTAGTACAAACTAACTTGTCAAAGCCACATTCCAGGACTCAGAACAGCAAGCAATGGGTGAAAGGAGATACAGATAATTGAACTTGGGAGGAGGTACAAATTTACAGGGAGAAATGAAACTTACAGGGCAAGATATCCTTGTATCTGTTTTTCTTGATGTTCTTGGGTCTCTCTGCCACAGTCGTGGGATAGGTTCTGTCTGTCTTGTACTTGGTGGAGAGTCTTTTCAGCTTCTGCAATAAAATTCCAATAATTAAATCTGCCTAGAGAAAAAAGGCAAAAAGCTATCACTAGAGAGCTTTTGAAGAGACCAAAATTTCACCACCCTGAAGCTGCCTTTGGGGGCACTAATTAAGAAGACAGGACTCAAACAGAAACCTTGATCCTCCCCCTTCACTGACTAAGAGATTCAGACAGAGAAACCTGCTTCATGGAGGAGAGCTCAGGAGGCCCCCCTTCGCCTAATTGGAACCAAGTATGGTAAATGAGAGGGCTTCAGGACAGCCCCTGTGTCCCACTGCTTCTGAGTCACCTAGCAAGGATTTCCTGTCACGCACACGTGTGTGTGTGCGTGTGTTCCACTGTTCCTCAAATACCTGTTCATTGCCCATTCTCACTTCCAAAATCTAACACCCTGTTTCCCCCACTTTTTCCTGTGTCCAAAAATGTCTTATACCCAATGCTGCCTACCCGTTTTTGAAATTTTCATGGAATTATCATGTCTATGTGAATTCCTCATGCACATGTATTAAACTTTGATTTTCTCCTGTTAATCTGTCCCTGTTGATTGGCTATCAGCCCAGCCCAGAAGAACTTAGAAGGTGGGAAGAAAAGTACTAATGCCTTTTAGCCCCCCACTCTTTCCTTCTCCACCCCCAGAACCCTCTATTTCAGCCCTTTTAGTATCTTCTGGGGCTGAGTTCGTTTGTGACAGAGCCCTGGAGCATAAGGATGGAGAGTTCAGTGACATCTGGAAAAGGGAAATGATCACACTTACTGCAGCTGAGCCACAAATAGCTAAAACTTAAGAGCTGAAACTGATGAATATTTAAGAAATCAGCATCTTCTGAAAGCAAGCTATAGGTGTTGCCCAATGGGTCAGGTGTTAAAAGTTTACTTTCTTTATAGCAACTACAGGCTATCTTAAGTAGAAATGGAGCTTAAGTTGCATTAAATTTCTCTAGATCCAACAAAATTTCAAAGATTTGGTCCCCAAAGCAGTCACTGTTTACGTGACGGAAACTTCAAGCCCACCCTGCAACCAGTGGTCTTCAAATGGTATCATTCTGTGTTGGTAGAATAGATCTGGGCCAGCCAGGGGTTAGCATCACACGGCTGAACGAGATTCCTTAAGATTGTGAAGTAACTGCTTAAATTTATTCCCATTTGCCAACATTATACTTCAGGCCAAAACTTCAGGTCAGAGGAAATGATGATTCTTTAGCTCCTTCTTATAAATCCATCTTGTACCAAATTTTGTCGAACACCCTTACCATTAAGAAGAAGAAGTTAGGGAAAGCTTCCCACGGGGGAATGAGGAAGTCCTCTGCCAGTGCCCCCACCTCCACACATAATCAAAGGGAAATAGTTTAAGGCAGGAAACTCCTATGGTGGTTGCAGAAGCCAACAACAAGTCCTCTGGTTTTAGGACCAGCTAAAACCAGATCAAGCCAAGATGGAAGAAAAAGGGACCAGAGAACAACCCCAAAGCTCGTTATACCATCGTTAGAATGAAAACTGACACCACGAGTAGAAGGGCGGGGGGTGGGGGGGAACAAGTGCCATGACACTTCTGGAGCAGACCATGTTAGGAAGAAAACCACAACCAAAAGGTGAAGCCAGAATCTGACACCACGAAGTTCAGAAACAGCCCACTCTTGGAAACACATGCAACCCCAAGAACTGACTGGGCAGCGCCCAACTGAGTGGCGAGTTCACCTGTGTCCACTCGGAAGTGTGCTTTCTTCTTTCACTGTGGTGCCCTGTGAGACTTGCAGCCAGGGAGAGCAGTGGACGGCTCGACCCTGATCATGCCTCCAGGAACCTGCATCCTACCTAGCCTCTTTTTCTTTATTTGAATAAACCTTGTTTTTGCTCTCACTGGGACTTATCCTTGCGTTCTTTCCTGTGCAAGTCAAGAGCCTGGAAGGCCTGCACCGTGCTGGGGTGTAGGGGAGGAAGGCGGGGGAGGGAAAGGCAGGGCCAGCACCAGGCACATGTAATAGATCTGACCTGTGGGAACCCCTATTCAACTTGAGAACGATAAGGGGAAAACGTCTGTGATAGCCAATACATACTTGTCAAATTTAACTACAGAAAATAATTAATATTATTTACCCACTATTTAATAGGGAATTGGTCCAGTGAAGATCATAAATTACTTCCTATGGGTCAGATCCCTCAGCGTTTACTCAGTTTTCATTCCCTGAACTTCCTTCTTGAAATTTCTTCCTCCTGTGGCCCTTATTAGTCTACACCATCTTGCTTCTCCTCGTTCTTCCCTGACTTCCCTTTCCCATTTCTCAGTCTTACTGGCTGCCTGTCCATTTCCATCTTCTAATTGTGAATTATCCAAAGTTCCCAAGTTAAGTCCTCAACTCTCTGCCCTTCTCCCACCATACACATTTATGCAGAAATACAGCATACGCTTAGAGAAGGCATACTACTGGTTTTAAATTTTTTACTTAACTGATTAAAATTGAATTATACTTCCAACCCCTACTGGATGTCTCAAATCTCTATACTGAAATCAGATCACTAAATTTCAATCCTCACTCACGTCCTAGACAGTCCCATTTGCATATCTCGTCATTGTTCCAATCGCTAATGATAAGGGCACTGTCCTTACCCCAGGTGGCCACACTCCAGAAACTGGGAGTCATTTCTGGTTCCCCCCTCCCCACAATCCCTACGTCTGACTCAGTCAGCAAGTTCAACCGATTCTTTCCATGCAGTATCTTGCATCAGCCTTCATTCCCATGCCCGTTGCACACACTGTAATTCAGGCCCTTGCCCCTCACGGCTGACCCCTTCACAGTCGTTTCTTAACGCCTCCTTCCACTTTTCTCTTTCCCCATTGAAATCAGTTAGGCATGATTGTACCAAAATAATCTTACTAAGATATTGCCTTTTTATCTTGCTTATGCTCCAAACAACTTCAGCGAATCCCCCTTGCTACCAGGAAAAAAAGTCTACACTCCTTGGCCAAGTGCTTAAGATTTTTCCCCACGTGGACCAAAATTTCAGCACCCCGAAGCTGCCTTTTGGGGATATTAATTTTAAGTTGTTTCTTAAGAAACAAGACTCAGAAAGAATCTTTGACCTACTCTCCTCTCCTGCCCAAGAGATTCAGACAGAGAAACCTGCTTCAGAAAGGAGAACTTAATATGTTCCCCTTAGCCTAATTTGAATTAAGTATGGTAAATAGAGGGCTTCAGACTGTTAGCTAGATACTGCATGTCCCATTGACTCTGAGTTGCGTTGAGCACAGGTAAAGCGTGTGTGTGTGTGTGTGTGTGTGCGTGTGGCCTATGCTGGTTTACCTGCCTTGCCCGCCACCTTCAACAATGGGACAGGGTGGCTTTTTCTTCCCTACTGCATTCATCCTCCTGGAGCCTCTGGCTGGATGACAAAGCGAGACACTCACCAAAAACATCACGTAGGAAATTCCTACAGAACTGCTAATTTGGCAAGAGGCAAAGATTCTTTCCACCCTCCGCCCCCCACAGCTTACTTTGAGGTCAGACCACTGTGAAGGCCTCCTTTTTTGTTGTTCCTTTTTTCTCCCCACCGACCCCCAGACTCCAGCACCCCAACCGAGAACAAAGCAGAGCAGAATTGGGACAGAAGAAGCGATAAACCACACCAGAAAAGGAGAAACTCGGAGAGTGGGAAGCAAAGGGGCATAAAAGAGAAAGCAAGTCCCGGGAGGGGTGTTGGGGCTGGGGATAAAAGACAGGTCAAAGGGGGAAGGTATTTCTCTGCAAATCTCAGAGTAGGGGGATGAGTTTCCTGCCAGGGGCCCCAAGGAGAGACCTGAGGGGAAGAGCCTCTGAGACTTTGAAGGGCCCAGAGCAGGACAGAGGATATAGTCAGTGGTATTGTAATAACTGTCTGTGGCACCAGGCAGGTACAAGAGGGACTCACTGGGGTGAACACTTCGTAAGGTATATAAATGTCTAACCACTGTGCTATTCACCTGAAATTAATGAAATACTGAATGGTTACTGTAATTGAAAAAATATATAAAAGTAAAATAAAATAAATTAAAAAGTAAAAATAGAAAGAAAAATAAAAGAGGCCAGCATCCCTCCTGGGCCTGATGAGAGACCAGATTCGGGGGGTGCTGGAGGAGCCAAGAGTAAGCTCATCTGACCTGTGGACTATGCCACCCCTTTCCTTTTGAGACAGGAAAGCAGAGGGGAGGGCCTGGCCATCACATGCTGGAAATCAGGACTGAGTCCTTTGCACGGTCTTCTCATTGCCTGGTAAATGCATTACTGATAAATGAGTTAAGTTCACTCCCAGAAGAGAAAAGGAAAGCACGAGGCCCCAATATCTTAGCCTCCGAAGGCCGCATATTGTAATGAAGTCATAGTGTAAGTCATATTCCAAGGGGGAGCAATGACACTTGGTCCTGCTGCGCCAGCTGGCACGGGGACACAGAGTTCGTCTGTCTGCAGAGCTTCTCAGGGAGCCTCCGCAACGCCTTACAACTGCAGGTCAGTATCATTACCTCTCCCACGACTCCAACGGGACTGAGAAGTGTGAATGCTAATACATGGAATTAGGAGCTTGGGCCTCTGAATCCAGTGAACATGAGGACTGCTGGCGGGAGTGGGGGACACGACTCAGCTGGCCCAGAGTGACCCAGCTGTGTGCAAGGATGGATTCTGTAATATAATGTAGAGTGAAAGAAGGAAGACATTTGCATGAAGTTCAAAAACCAGGAAGATGAACGTCTATTGTTCAATGACACACCCAGGTCTTCAAGCCATGCGACGACCTCAGGGTGGTGTTCACCTTGAGTTTGGCAGGAGTTTGGGGATTTATGATCTGGAAAGACACCCAGATTTCTGGGGTGAGGGCAGTGTTCTTTTTCTTGCCCGCAAGCACCTGCATGGTGCTTACATAGGTACCTCCTTTATTACTAGTTGTTAAATTGTATACGTGTCTTGAAAGCACATTTCTGTGTATGTGTTAGATTCCACACTCTTTTCAAGTTTAAAACATTAAGACCAATGAAGAAACTGGAAGCTACTGGGTGTGGAGGAAGGTAGGGAACTAAGAGCACGGGCTCAAAAGTTAGAAAGCTTTAGAGTTTCAAACCAGAGTTTCAAATCCTGGCTTTGCCATTTTACAGGTAAAAAGAAGATCACACTTCCCCTTGGAGTTGTAGTGGCTGAGATCATATATGGCAACCTACTCCCTTGACTCCCAGATGGCAAGCAGTCCAGAAACAGGTGTCTATATTATCTTTTATAGTTATTAATTTAAGATGAGCAAGGTAGTAGAGAAGACGATACGGTACTGTAAACTAAAAACTCTTTTGGAAATATTTGGCACTATTTAACCCATTGGACGCTAATATTCTGTGACCCTCTGTAATAACACTTTGGAGGCTCTTGCCTTGGTATATAATCCAAAAACCACATGGACAAACACGTTTATTGCAGGGTTATCAATAATCGTAGGAAACTAGAAATAACCTAAATGTCCAAAGACAGAGGAATAATTTGATTATCTGGGTACCTGCCACATGTCAGTCATTTTGTGTAGCTATTCTATTACCTTCCACGCAGCTCTGCAAAGTGATTGCTATTGGTTCCCACTTTGTATTGCTTTTCTTAAGGTCACACAGCTGGTAAATAGGCAGAACCTGAATTCCAACCCAGAGGTAACTGGCTCCAAAGTTATTATAAGTTCAAATGGTGAAGCAAGAAGACTTGAACTCAAAACTCAGTTGCACCCCCGTGTACCAGCTGTGTGACCCCAAGCAAGTCATTAACCCCTCTGTGTCACTACTTCTTTTTCTGTAAAGTGGAAGTAATAACAGTATCTGCCTCGATGGATTAAATAAGTCACTATATAAGTATTTAAAACAGTTTCTATAATAGGCATAAAAGCAGTAGTTATTATTATGATTATTATTTTCTCATTGTATCAAACTGCATCAGAAGTCATTAATAGATTTTAATCAACCTGATCATTTTGGTGTGATGTTAAGTGAAAATAAGAATAAAAAATTGTATCTGTGCTTATAATTACAGTAATATAAAAGGCATTATATAAATGGATAAGAACTAGAATTTTTCTATACCGAAAAAAATTGTATTTGCTAGGATCTTGGTCCTAGGGTGAATTTGCTTTCTTTTAACCTGCAATAATATTATTTTATAAGAATAGTAACAATAAGGCTTTGGCCTGGCCAGGTGGCGCAGATGGTTGGAGCGCTGTTCTGTGCACCAAAAGTTTGCCGATTCAACCTTCCATCGAGTGTGGAAGGGGGGCAACCAATTAATGTTTCTCTCTCACATTGATGCTTTTCTCTCTCTCTTTCTTCCTTCCTCTCTCTCTAAAATCAATAAACATATCCTTGGGTAAGGATTTAAAAAAAGAATAGCAACAACAGGATTTTTTTAAAAAGAAAAATTCAGTTTGTTACAGCATCGCTTCGATACACCAAGGCTGTGGGTTGGATCCCCGGTCAGGGAACATACAAGATTGAAACAATGAGTGAATCAATAAGTAGAACAACAGACTGATATCTCTTTCTCTCTCTCTCTTTAAAAATCAGTCAATAATTTTTTTTAAAAAAGAAAGAGAGATTTTCCACAGTGTGGTTGCGCACCGCATTTCTGCTATTAGAAACTATACTGACTAGGGCCTTACCCTTCGGCTCGGCCCCTGGAGGGACTCGGCGTTATTGGCTGAAGCACGAAACTACTTTCACAGGCTCTGAAATAACAGATCCAGGTTAAATTTCATGTCTATTGCTGAACGGCTCAGTGAGCTTAGACCAGTTAGTTCAACTCTCCCAGCCTCAGTTTCCTCATCTGTAAGTCAGAGATTATAACTACCTCACAGGATTTTTTTAAGTGTGTAGTAAACACAATAATGAACGTGATATTTCCTTGACACCCCACCAAGACTATCACAGTTATAATGAAATATTTAATAGTGTAACCAGTTGTTCAGTGCCTCTCTGCAACGTCCTCCAGCGCCCGGGAGACAGGCTCCACCGCAGCACAGAGCACTGCACTGCAGCGCCAGCCTCCAGCACAATGCTTTGCACACAGTAAGCGCTCAATGAAGTACTTGAATGAATGCATAAAAACCTTGTAGGAGCAGCCAACGGCAGTTCCAACCACAGAAAGCTCACTGAATTTCGTCTTGGCCCAAAGAAGCAGACCTAAGCATCACACAGCACGGCCATGGGCTCCACAGCCCGCCAGAGGCTAACAGTGGCCTGTGTCCCTGAATCAGTCCTTAAATCTCGGCAACATCAAATCTTGGGGGTGTACATTAAGGGCTTCGGGTGAGATGTGGGACATGACCAGGTGGGACACCCCTCCCCCGTCCCCCAATTTAATGGCAGTGTTTACCTTGCCCAAGCAGGCAAACTGGCCTCCTTCGTCACCCCTTCACTCCCCCAAAGCTAGTCTCTCTTCTATCTCAGCTGAACCTTTAGGTGGGGCCGAGAGCAAGACTTTGTTTTTCCACCGGAGGACATGAGTCAGTGAACAGTGAGGTTCCACTTAATCACCCAAAAATAAGGTCCTAAACCAGGACCTAAAAAAGCAAGGAAGTGATTAATGTAAAAGTCAGGACCGTGATTATTCTTGGGGCAGGGAAGGGCGGGGGTGGGGTGAGGGACCCAATGGGGAAGGAATAGATAGGGGTCTCCTGAGCTCTATCCTATTACTCCATCTGGGTGGGGCGGCTTTCTGTTCATACTTTCACACATTTTACATACTTCTCTAAATGTGTATTGCAGTTCACAATTTTAAACAGCTTGAGGGGAAAAAAACTACAGAAGGTTTGTAAGCAGGGAAAAAATGACCAGATCTTAATTATTAAGAGATCACTTGGGTGTCGAATGGAAAATTAATTGAAGGTGGAGCAAGGCCACAGACAGAGGAAACCAGAGGGGAAGTGACCGTACAGTTGGATGAGAGGTTACAATGACTGAGCAAAGAAAAGGTGAAATATTGGGGATATAGTCTATATCATCATCATCATCAGTATTATTTTAGTCCTCATCCGAGAATATGTTCACTGATTCGAGAGAGAAACACCAGTGTAAGAAACATCCATCGGCTGCCTCCCACACGGACCTGGATGGAACCCGCAAGCTAGTTTTCTGCCCTGACCAGGGGTCAAACGAACCCACAACCACCCAACTGAGCCTCCCAGCCAGGGCTAGTCTCCATTATTTGTTAAAAATACAAGCAGAGGCTGGCTCTGCTCCCTCAGCTCACATCTTACCTCTCTGTGTTGGGTGCATTTGCTCAGGAATCACAGTCCACGGGCAGGGGACTGTCTAAAGCAGACACATAGGCCAGGACGCTCCCCACGCGCCTCCCCACTGACTCTGCCCAGAGGGACTCAGAACTGCCTGGCACTTAGAACACGTTTCATGGCACCATCATACTATCCAAGTAGAGCTGACACAGGGGTTCTGTTATAATAGGTAATACTTCCACCAAAGTGTTTGATCACTAGAGACCTCACAGAGTATTTCCCATGTGTTATCAGGTACCAGTGTATTAACTCACAAGGGCAAAGGTTTTGGCTTTGCTCACTACTGTATCTTCAGTGCTTCGAACTGAACTTGGAACAGCCTCGGTGTTCAATAACTATTACTGAATGAATGGCCACATTTGATTATTCTTGGTACTTAATCACCACAACAATCCTGGGAGGACAGGCAGGACATGAATTGCTCTCCCCATTTTAGAAGTTAGAAAACAGAGAGGAGGGAACGCGTCAAGCAGTGGATCATTTGGTTGGTGACAGAATCATAATTTCATTTCAGGTTTGTACTTCGGTTGCCTCATTTTCCCCATTTCTCCACAGCTGAAGAGCTAAGGTTTGAAGTTCACACACCAGCTGGGAGTACTCCAAAACACATCGGGGGTACTGCCAGGCAGCCTCTGTCGCTGGGTAGCTGGGCTGGAGGGTGCCCGAGGCCTCCTCGAGTCCCCTGCGTCAGTAATCACAGCCCCCGGCGGAGACGCGGGGTTCCTCTCCAGCACCTGACCCCACTGGTTTAGGGGTCCTCACCGCACCCCTCACTTTTCTCTACTCCCCATCCTAGCCCTTCCACCCCTTCAAGAAAAGGCCAAGGAAACCCTGTTATTGTAAAAACACGTTTCCATCTTCTTTTGGTCTTAGAAAAAAATAAAGAACTGCGGCAGCAGGTCGTTTTGGTGCTTGAAGCGTCTTGGCATCCAGGTGGAATCCCGTGGGGAGGCTACATAAAAAGGTCCCGTGAAAAGTTACCCGTGGTCTCTTTCCTCTTCATATTAATTCCAGTTAGTCATCTGAAGCATAAGTTACACCTCAGATCCCAGGGAATGCGAGACATTCAATTAATATTAGCACTTACACACCTGGAATTATGTATGTCTGCTGTAGATTTCTAGGCAAACTCCAAAAGCTAGCAAAGAAAATATGAAAAACCAGTCCCTTGGAGAGAGTATCTAAAATATGCACAGAGCTCAGAGAAGTCAAACTCGTAGGTTGCCTCCTTCCGCTCCGCCCCTGAGCGGGGTCTGATACTCACTTTATCTCAAGAGCAATTTAGTCTCTGGGAGTTGGACCACCCAAGTCAGCTAAACAGTCCCCGCAACTACCCTGAGGCTGTCCCACGGGGGACTCACCAGAAATTCACTGGCAAACTCCTCTCTGCGCATTTTCTTGTTTTGGGCCCCATCCAGGAACTTCTGCAGAATCTGCCTCTGGTCCATGCTGCGGGGCGACAGAGATCCTCTGTGAGCGGGTGACCGGAGGGCATGTCCCGTGTGTGTCATGGCCGAGACACCGGCAAGAAGCCACTGCTGCAGCCCGAGCCGAGCATGTTGAAGACTGTGGTTTACTGACTTCATCACAAGCCTGAGAGGAAATTAGTATGTAACCAGCCTCTGTGGTCACACAACAAAGCCATCCTCTCCCCCCCGGGCCCTAGCGCCTTCCTCCTCAAGGAAAGAGTCTGGTTACACCTCAAGTTTTTAGCAAACAAGACACTAACCAGAACATAAAGTGTGGTCAGCTAGCTCCGAAGCTGTTCCACTCCAACAACTCTTTTTCTTTCTTTCTTTTTTTGCTTCTTAGAGAAAAGGTCTCCTGCAGGGATTCTGCCTCTGCTTGTTTCCCCAGCCCGCACAGACGCCCTGTTAACACCTGTTTCCTCACGTCCCAAATGAACCCCTGCCAAGGCCTGTTAGCCCCAGGAAGGGAGACAGAGTCTGTTCGGAGTTAAGTTTGTTTAGAGGTTGTTGTCGCTGTGATCAATGGCAAGCTCCTGTTCGTCGGGAGAAGGCATTTTCACTCAGAACTCTGAAGCCTGCCACGCAGACCTCAAACTCTCTTTCAGATGAAGCCAAGCCAGCAGCTCCCGACAAAGCCGGTGCCTGTCCCTGGCCTGGGGAAGTCCTGGCCTCGCTCAGGGAAGTGTGGTAGATTTCGGGACCCCCAGGACTCCCCCTCCCAGTACCTTCTGGGCTTCACTTGGGTTCTGGATGTGAAGCCTGAGAGCAATCCATTGAGGATCCAGGAGCACAGAGGTCCTCGCCACCCCCACGCTCCCCCCACCAGGGGGGAACCCAATCAGGAAACTGGCATGCAGTGAATGAAGGACACTATGAAGGAACAGAAAAAGAGCAGATCAACCACCTTGCTGGCAGCGGCTTAACTTTCAGGGCGGAAAGCCTGAAGAACCGCTTCTTCTGAGGCCGTAGCTTAGGCCTCAGAAAAAAAGGCCATTGTTTCAGGAAGCCACTCTGTGTGTGGCATTTTGACCCCATCTGACAAGCAGGTGGTTCTAGAAAAAGCTTCCACATTTCAACCTGCATAAATTGTCTCCTCTTTGCATACAAACCTACCCAAGAGTGTCTCATTCAGCGTGAGAACAACCAAAAATCAGCCTATCGCCTCTTTGAGGGCAGATTTCAATGGTTGTATTCACAAAATTAGTCTGAAATGGTCCTGGAGAAAACGTTTAAATGTGCTGTGAGGGCTTCCTCTAGTTATTGGCAATCCCCTCTGTTTTGCAACATTAACTCCCTTCAGGAAATCATGATTCTGAACACTATAGGCTGCATCCACTTTGCTGAGCCCCACGACCCAAAAGGAAAAGTCGCTGAGGTGCGCTGCTTAGTGGCAATGTGAAGCCAATAAAGAATTTTGATCCCAATCCACATAATAAATTAAAATGAACCATAATTCTTCCATAATATTTGTTGCGAATAGGACAGTATTTCTCAAATCATCCCCTTTAACATTAAAAGAGAGTTTCTTGCTGCTCTAAATAATGCAATGTTTCATTTGTCTATTTTAACACATAAAATATATGGCAATTTTTTAAAGGCCAAAATTTCAAGGTCACAGTAGCTAAAATCATGTAAAACTATGTACATGGGGTTTTTTTCTTAAAGAGTTTATTCATTTTAGTTACCGGGGAAGGAAGGCGGAAAGAGAGACAGGGGAAGGAAGGGAGAAAAAGAGGGAGAGAAACATCAATGTAGGAGAGAAACATAGATTGGTTGCCTCTTGCACGCCCCCTACTGGGGACCTGGCCCACAACCCAGGCATGTGCCCTGACTGGGAATTGAACTGGCAACACTTAGGTTTGCAGGCCAGCACTCAATCCGCTGAGCCACACCAGCCAGAGCAAACTATGTGCATGTTTAAATGAAGACAAAAAGATGTAAAAAAGAATCAACTGTGTAAGTGCTGGAATTAAGAATGTTTTAAAAAATTCTTTTAAAAAATTACTATATCATTTTTTCAAATAGAAAAGAAAGACAAAAATCCATTAATTTGTTCAAAATATTTACTGAGTACCCACTAAATGCTGAGCACTCTACAAGGGGCTGGGTATTGAACAGTGAACAAGACAGAATATGCTGAAAAACATGATTAACCAGTTAATAAAGCATCTCAGAAACTAAAGAAATGGACTTAATTACTGATAAGACTATTCCAAACTAACTTGCTTATTTTCAGAGTAGCAAGGCTTAATCTGAAAAAAATGATTTTCTGTATTTGGACAAAAAAGAGGTATATACAGTTTTATAATCTAAGAATTCCTTCACTTCCATCAAAACCAGAACTTTACTAATGAATAAACAAGAAGATACCTAACAAAATGAAATTTACATCTATTTTCCTTGGGCCCATATTTCAGAACAATTTCTTTCTTATATTCTTGGGGAGGGAGAAAATGGAGACAGGTACATGAAAGAAAAACTTGCTTAGACTTTTACCGAAAAGATAAGGATCTGAAAATAATGTCTTAACAGATCGTTTCCGAAGCAAATACTGATTCTTAAGTGTCTCTTGGGCTCTATAGAAACATCATGAAATTACCAAACCTCAAAAACCCACTTAGCAAAAAGGCCATTTCCTGAGCAGACCACTCAAGCAAGGAAAAAAAAAAAAAAAAACCCAGAAGTTGAAAACAAAGAATGTGTTTTGTTTTAAGCAAATCTAAGCTACTCCTTAATTTTTCACACTTTCTTCTGCAGGTTTGTGTTGCCTTTTGGTGGAGACTCTCATGGGAAGATCGAGAACAGAGGAGAAGAAATGAATCCTGCAGCAAAGAGTGTCAGGCACCTAAAAACTGTTTAAGAATTTACAGCGAAACATTTGAACCCTCCTGGCCCAAGCCCTGGGCAAACTCAACAATTCCGTGCGGTGAAAGCCTCATGAATTCTCTCCATCGGAACCGTCAAGGGTGAGTTCTAGTGGGAAGTGAAATTGGGAATCGGCGGCTGGACAGCCAAAAAGGAACGTCCCACTGCTCCCTCGTGGGGCTCTGGTGTTCGTTCAGAAGGAAGATGCCTGCAGAGGGCCCATCACATTGTCACTGGTCCCAGGAGGGGGTGTGCCAGTTTAGGGAGATATAGCATCGCAGAGGTCAGGGCTTAGATGACAAAAACCTTGAACCAAAGAGAATGTCAGGGGAGATTATGAGGATGAGGACACTCGTCATTGGGTTTCTCGGAATATCCTCCTCTCTCTACGAGGAGGCGTATTTTACCCTGGGGAAGCCATTTCCCCTACGTTCCAGTGTCACTGATTTGACATGAGCCGCGTGTACTATCTGTGAAACACTCAGTGCTTCGCAAGCATCCTTGGTCAGCAAGCCTATTGGTCCTTCCTCCTGGATGTCTTTTAGATTCCACCCACTTCTTCCAGCCCAGGTTCACCAGCATTCCCCTTTCACATGCGGATTCCCAAAGCAGCGGGCTCTTAGTTACCTTCCTCTCTCTCTATTTTCCACTCTAGTATCTACTGGTTACCAAGGCAGGGGGAGAGTTCTTAAAGCCACTTTAACCCGAAGGACCAAAGTACTTACTAGTACAAAGTCTATGGGAACAAGCCCGACTGTCACCAAGCCAATTCCTACCAAGCGTCCCCACCCAGCTGGCACCAAGCCATTTCCTTTCAGGAGTCCCCGCCCAGCCTATCCAGCCACATCACCCATAGACCTTCTTCATTCAACTGCCCCTTCTTCTGCCGCTTCTCATTTTTCTCCCTAATGTTCTCCAAGATGGAAATAAAGCCGTAAATCCTTGTTACTCTTTTCTTCCAGAATCCTGTCCCCATCTCCACCTCACCACACCCTTCTCTGAGCCTGAATCCTTTCTGTATAAATCTTTATATTCAGCTATAGAGGTTTTCTCAGTTGCTTCACATGTTCCTTGTCTCCCGCCAGTTTCTTTAAGAGCTTATTCGAAAGAAAACACACCAAAAAAGTGCCCCCTGTAGTTTTAAGTTTATTGATGGCAGTGACGGTTTTTTCCATGCATTTGTGTCACTCATAGGGCTTAACGTGGCCACAAGCACACCTGACAGAAGTGTACTGAGATGACAGCGTGCTAGAGAATGAGGTCTGGTGAGGGGTCCCCGCTGACTTGGCTGCTCGCTGCCTCAGTGACTCCAGGTCTCTTACCTGACACAGTCTATGCTTGTCGCCGGCGAGGTGCTTGTGCTATGCCAGGAGCAGATGGGCTTTCCCTGCAGGGAGGAGGTCCAGGAACCTGGCAAAGGGGCCTCCCAGAACGCGGCAGCTCCAGCAGCAGGGCCGGTCTTACAAAAGGAATGGGGTTGCTAATGAGACCCACGGTCCAGCCCTGGAGGGTTGCAATGGCCTGGAAAAAAAATATGGCCTCCTTTATTTCCACAAGAGACCTTCCTTTCTTGTTTTATAACTAGACATGGAAGAGGCTTATCAACCTCCTCTAATGAAGTTTTTCGCTCGCGTTTTCACTTCACCCAGAGCAGGGGCATCACCTACCTACCTTCCAGTCTGCTTCTTGTCACTGCAGCATTCTGAGACTCTTCACGCTCTTCTGTTCACCTGCTGTGAATTTCAGAGCTTCCCACACACAACACGGGGACTCCAGGAATCATACTCTGCCTTCGTGTTTCTACACGATCCTCAGGAGGCGAAGGTCAACTAACGACTTGCAGTGGAAGCAATTTACTTTTCTTTTTTCTTTTACTAGCCATGCGGGACTCTTGGTGAGGTTTGGTTGCATCTTGTTCAAAATATAATCAAACTCGAAGCCTCGTGTTTTGCTTAATGTTCATCTAGCCTTCCTTCCTTCCTTCCTTCCTTCCTTCCTTCCTTCCTCCCTTCCTTCCTTCCTTCCTTCCTCATTCTGAGATCCATGCACGTACAAGAGTACGGGGAACAGGGGAGCTGCAGAAGTGTTGCACAAATTATTGTCATTTGAGGATCCTTTAGTCCACCAGGGAAGATAAGTGTACAAAGAACAATAATTTAAGGCAATTTGTGATAAGAAACGTGGCACAAACCAAAGTTTAAGGTGCCAAAGATCATTTCCCGTTCAGGTTGTCTGGGTAGTGTTCATGGAGGAAGTGGC